GTGAGGGAACTGTTTTGACAGAACTCATGGGTTTGCTGGACTCCATCAAGGATAGTGATAATGTGACATATGAAACCTGTTTACGTACCGTTCTCGCAGCATCTCTTCCAATTCACACCTCCCCAGTTGTTCTTTCAATTTTGCGTGGGAGGAAAGTTAATGTGAGTGTTGTGAAGTTGTGTCTACACCATTTGGCTATTGTCGTTCGAGGGCGCCATTTTGTTGGCTTTTGTCAAATGCGAACGATGAAAATTGCGAATTGTACATTCAAGTCATGCCTTTTTTAAAGCACGCGCCCGTGTTTTTGCTTTACGAAGTATACCACACGATGGAACAGAACAACTTGGTAACTGCCTCAATTCGGTGCAACTTTCTTGCGAATTGTGGCATTCCTGTTTCCATTAGCAACGCTGTGCCTCTGCTTAGCCCGCGACCAGGGTAGGAAAGAAACAGTAGAGCATATGTCGATGGTCTGGCGCTGTGACGCAGATCCAATTTTGAAGCGATACGCGTTGCTGGCCCCAGCTTTACAAGTTGTGGAAATGTGCCTCATGTGGTCGATTAAACAGCGATGGATTTAATTACTGTCTTTGCTCCGCTCTCCGAAACAGCTTCGTTGTATGCGCTGGCTGTGGAAATGCGCAGGACGAGCGCTGGAGATGTTGTCAGTTATGTGGTGAGGAAATTCGTGAGGATGTCATTGCCGCAGCTTTTGTGCGACACTCCTGGAACTGCGACGACTGTGGCGCAAGCAACCCCGCCCGTCAGATATTTTTTTGTTTCCGCTGCAAGGCATCCTCCTGCCCTGTTGCAAAGGTGAAGAAGTCTTTGGAAGGTGTGGAGAAGAAGCATTGCTCTTGCCCACGTAACAAGGAGTTAGATGTAAAAAATAGATTGAGGGGAGTGTTGTAATATTGTCGATGCTGCGGTTGGTTTTGCGAAGCATGGGCTGCCAAAAAATTCTGTTGTTTGGCATTGCGAGGGATGTGGAGAGCTGCAGAGCTCGTTGGACCGTGCATGTCCTGATGGCCCGCATGTGGAGTGTTTGCCATTTTCGGTTGTGCGGAAGAGTTGTGATTGTGATTCTCTTTCTTACCCTGCTTGTCGGCTTCCGTTCGTCAATCCTTTTGCATTACGATGCCTTCAGTGTGATGGACCCCTGCAGCGAGGCACATTGGGTGAGGGAGGAGGAGTTGGAACGGTGACGAAAGATTATACTTACGTGGCCTTTCGTTGTTTACATTGTGATGTCATTGCTGTGGACGGCACTGCGTCACGTAACTGTTGCACCTATGGTGAAGATGCGTTTGATGCTGATTGCATACATGTTGACTCTCGCCACTGCGAAGGGTGTAGTAAAGATATGGAGCCGTTGCGTATTGAAGCCATATGCATGTACTGTACCAGCTTACTGCCACCAGTACAAAAGGAAGGTTGGAGTGTTACTGTAATGCTTGAGACTCTGAAGCGACTTGGGCAGTTGATGGAACGGGACGGTGTATGCGAGAGTTGGACAACTTTGCTTCAAGACTTACTGTACTCCTTTCAGACACAGATAGAGCTCAGGGTTATTGAGGAAACCCGTGTGATGATAGACGTAGAGCTCAGACGTCTACAAATCCGTCTGTATAAGTTTATTGCCTACGATGCAGTGGCACGTCGAGTCATTGTGTTGACAAAACAACTCTTGGAGTACATCGACACCAAATGTGGGCTGCTTGAAACACTACACTTTTTGGATGGACAGTGTCGATACTGTCTTGGGACGCACCCGAAGGAGTTATGCCCGCATCACAAAGAGCCATGGATATGTGAGGAATGTGGAGCTGAAAACAGTAACGCGGATGCTTGTAGCTACGTGTGCCAACAATGTCTGGCCTTGCGTCCTTACGTACAGGAAAAGTGCCCGACAGAGGCGTGGGAGTGTCCTCGATGCCAGCGAGTGAACGCTGAACTTGAGGCATTTTGTATCTTCTGGGGCGTCCAGCATGCTGCTGTGGAGAGCGCTGTTGAGGAGGCGTCTGAGGCCTGCGCATTCCTTCCAGCTAAATGTGTCTCGTGTGGTCTCGTGCACTTGGAGGCGCGGTGTCCCCTTTGTCACGATGACGTTCCGGAGTCAATGAACTATGCGGAGGGGGTTGTGTGTATGGTGACAAGCCGCCACGCTTTTATCCAGCCCTCAGGTACGGAGCATCCCAACCAACGGGTGTACGTCGGCGTGCCGTGGCTCCAGAAGCGGCAGTGGGCGGAAGGAGAAAAAGTCATCTTTACGGCAAAGCTCAATAAACGCGGTGGATTTCGGATGACATTTATCCACCCTTAGTGAGTAGCCATAATATCACTGACTGTCATGGGGATTTTTTTGTATTGTTTTTTTTTTTTCCTTTCTTCTCACATGCCGATGCCCCAAGCCAGCAAGTGTGCATTTTATTGCAGCTGCAAAAAGTGAAAACAAAAAAAACACGCTGAGATGTATTTACTGACAAATGACCGTGATGGGCGTGCTAAACAAAAATTATTAATTCGTTATTCTTTTTTTTTTTTTACTTTGTTGTTATGGTGTTTGTTGTTGTTTTTTGCCGCGTTTTACACAATGGAAAAACTTCATCACCACACACACCAACAGGGAGCGCGCGACGGGTGTCATGGACTGGAAGCACGCATCAATGAGCGGGAACCTGACGTGGGTGAAGGATACGACGTCGTCGTCGACTCGTGCAACTCTTTACTCGGAGCTCTCACCAACACTTATTGTGGGCCTTACGCTGCATGATTGCGCCCCAGTGGACTACGTCAAGTTCTCCACGGTGACCTCCGTGATGCATACGGCTCCACGCACCGTAAAACTGCACCTTGGCGACGCGGCGCAGCTTTCGTTGATTGCCCCCGACTCTCGGGCGTGTCTTCAGTGGTTTGGAGCCATCAATCTCGCTCTATCTGGAAAGAAAGGTGGTCCAGGGTCGGTGGAAAAAACGCCGTTGAGAGGAGAGAAGCAGTCCCTACACGAGCATTCAATTTCCACGGCGGGGAGTGGCGTTGCAGAAGTGTCCGCACGGAGAGAGCCACAAAGAGTGCCTCACACCAAAGATACAAATAATATAAGCAATGTCACGAACGGGATTAGGGACGGCGCCTCTGTTCCTTTAAAGGATGACACGGTGTGCATTGAGAACGCGGACGCCGACAGGGGGGTTACAGTGCGGCAACCACATGATGCTAGCACACATACCTTACACTCAGCGCCCAAGTCCCTTTATTTTGCTCATTCACCACAATTGTCTGCGCTTCATCATGGCGAACCTGAACGAACCATGCTTCCACACCTGACTGAGGATAATGCGTTTTTGCCATCTTGCCAGAAGCGTTTAACTGAAACTTCTGCGGTGAGTGGCATGACAGAGCCAAACGTGACCCGCATCGGATCGGCTGTTGATGCCTTCCAGGAGATGCGAAAGGGGGAGGCTGCTTTTTGGGGAAAAGTCCCTCAGGGAGAAGAACATCTCTCTGCTTTGGGTACTTGTACTTGTCAGTTAAAGCAGTGTAGTTCAACCGGTGATGTTTCATCAGCGGTTCTCTTGAGTGGAGTGGAGCTCCGCCAACCCGCTGTTTCCCTGACTTCTAAAGATCGAGACATCATGCAACAAGAGAGTCCACATACGACGGACCTCTCTTCACCAGAGCCACCGCGGGAGTCATTATCGTTTGGTGTGACAGGGAGAGAGTTATTTGAGTCTCGTTTACCTGTAAAGGCTGAGTGCTCCATTCGTTCCGAAGTTGGAGCACGAGATGGACTTGAAGAGCTAATCCACGGTGACTCTGCGCCTTGTGAGCGCTACGTTGACGCTGATTCAATGAGCAACGCTGTAAGACGGGGGGTTATTGCTCCATCGTCCACGGAATTGCTGTCTCCTAGGCATGCGGAGCCAGCTTCATTTCGGCAAGAGGCAGCAACGCGAGCATCTCAGAGTTATCAATTGTCCCAGGGGAATCTGACACATGCCGACACTGACATGACAATGTGGGGCAAAATTGGGGTGGAGGGGGGAAGAAGAGGGGTGTCAGGGAAGGACGAGCTGGTAGATGACACGCGTAGTTGTCAAGTGAATGAACTTGTTACTCATCCCGCTTGGCGATTGCCTGGCAGTGCAAGGTTGCCATTAGACTGTCAAGGTTTACCAGAGGCATCCGTTTTGGACCGACCGGGTGGGGAATACACATATCATGGTAAACGGACGAAAACTAGTGTTTCACAAAGGGCATTAGCAGAGCCAATCCTCGATCGAATTATTAACGTCTCGCCCCGTAGTGCTCCACGTGAGAATTCTTCTCCCGTGGTACTCTCATCTGGGATTGACACTCCCTCCGTACGTTTGCCATCGTGGGAGAGAGATGGTTATTATCGCCCTATTGAAGCCGCAGTGGCGGTGGTACCGCGAGAAAGTACGTCTGTTGTTAGGGATTTATTGGGGCGGCCAAGTAGCATGGAGAGTGGTTGGCCGCGAAATGTGACCACTCGCTGCAGCGCAAGAGATGCATTCCCCACGAAACAACGGCCTGTGGGACCTTCTCTGCCTCTTACATACATGCATCTGGACCGAGGGAACAGTCCTCGTACGGTGAAGGAGTACACACATAAATCTTACGCAGCGATGCCTTCTCCAGCCTATCGACGCTCGGAAGAGCACAATTATTATAATGCTGCTTGCTTGTCCTCACGGGGCGGGGCAAGAGCTTTAAGGGGCGAGTCGACATCACCTTGCTCACGCCGTGAGGTTTTTCAGGGTGTTTTGTCGCGAGACTCCGGCAGGGCGTCAAGGCGGAATAAATTGAGACGTAAGGTGAAGAGTGAAGTTCCACAACCAACTGCCCATTTCTTGATGGAGCCTACATTATTCAAGAAGCACCCAATCCAGGGTCACGGTAGTTCCGAACACTATGTGTGTATGACGGAAGACGGTGCATATATCGTGTGCATTCCTGCGCGGGAATTTGAGGCGCGGTGCGCAATACGTCAGCGGGGACTTGCTTCATTGGAGGAGGTGATGTGCGTGTATGGCGAAGGGTGCCGGGCAATGGCACTGGGAAACATTGATCATGTTTCGCTGGGGACTGAGGAGGAATGGATGCATGTTTTGGAACTACAAGCTGTGGGGCTAGATAGACTTGTCTGCGTTGTGTCTCGTTCGCATGCCTTTGTTTTGGAGGCTGCCACAGCTGCTGGGGCCAATAATTTTGTGGAGGCGTGGAATGCGTTTCTGTTTAAATATGCCTAGAGTTAGAAGCTACGATGGGGAAATGGAGACCACTGTCAATTACGTTTCATTGACGGCTTATGGGGTGCTGCGACATGTGTTACACCTCGTACTGCTGTATTGGGGGATGGATGGGGGAGGCGATGTGATTTCTTTGTTCTTTTGTTTTGTTGTTGTTGATGTTGCCCTTTCCCCCGCCCTAACTCTTCCTCTCCTTGCTTTGTTCTTCGTTCTTCACTTGTAAATGCTTCTCGGCGCATGTTTACCTCACTTTTTCTTATTTGCTTTATAACCGGATGTTTTTTTTTCCGTTTCTTTTTTTGTTTTTGTTTTTACATGATGACTGCCGGTAACTTTTTTTTTTTGTTTTGTTTCCACTGCGATAGACCTCGCTGTTCGCGTGTTTTATTTCTGTGTTCCGTGAATGTGTGGTTCGTGCTGTGGTGCCCAATGGATAGCTGATGAGAAAAAAGATTTAGGGCGTCGCATGCAGTGGCTACAGAGACGTGCCTCCATGCCTATGCATTATTAACAGGGTTCCAGCGGAAGAAGAAAGAGACTAGGAACTGAAGTGACACCGTGTGGGATGCAAACCTTTTTAATTCGTGAGAGTCTTGCTAACAGCTATGCTCTTGTGTGTCATGCATACGTGTGTACATGTGTGCATTATAAAAGTACATATCTCTGTAGTAGATGGCACGAGTGTGTCTATGTTTTCTTGGCTGTATTTTCTGCTGTATAGTTACCTATTCCACTTGCATGGGTTTGCTGCTTGCCTGAACAAAAAGCAACATCAAAGGGTTGCTAATTGTGTTTCTCCATGTCAACGTCCGCGTATCATGTGGCAAGCCTTTTGCGACAAGACAAGAAGAGTGGAGGCATTGACGTTGGGGAAAACACACTCGCAAAGCTCACACGGGATGTGGAGGCGTTTTTGAGTCGTGCAGCAGATGCTCCCCCTGTCGTGATGGAGACGTCACACGAGGATGGCGATGCTGGGGCACCGGAAGTACAGCTCAGCGTTGTGGCGGGTGTCTTGGAACCACGCGAGCCTGCTAATGACGGTACAACGGTTGATGGTTTGTTGCTGCCAACGGAAAAGAATCAGGCGACATTTGACCGGCAGCGAGTGCGTGAGGCTCAGGCGATGTTGAACCTTTTGGGGGCCCTCTCAACGAATGGCAGCGCACCGACTGCCTCTGTGATTGCTACACCACACCCTCAGGTCGCCGTGGAGGGTGAAGAGATGGACAGTGTGGAATCTGATGCGTCCATCGCAGTGTTTGATGCCTACGAGCTGGAAAATGACACGAGCTCTTCAGAGGATGAGGGTGACGCGCAAAGGCGGCGACCGCCGCCTCGCATCTTGGAGTTAAACTGAGTTGTTGCATCACCAGCCATAACACGGTGATGCGGCTGTTATATGCGTTTTTTTTTCTTAGCATTGCTATTCCCGTATCCCCACACAGTGTACTACACGCGCCGTGGCGGTTCTTCAGTTTAATTTATTTTGTTTCCTTCCCATTTTTTACGCGTCTCATTTTCCCCTGTCGTATTTTCTACTCTCATCTGGGCTTCGTTACCCTCTCCGCAGAGGGGGTCTTAAAAGGGGAAACGAAGTAAAGCAGAGAGTATTTGTGGTGGTTATTTGGGTTCAAGCGTGAAGCCGGAGGAGGAACGTAGGTGAAGGAAAAACAAGAGATAGGGAAGGAATACGCACGAGAGAGCGTAAAGGGAGCAGGCATGCGTCGCCTCACGTGTACCCCGCTTGCCTTGAATGCGGCGGTGGCGTCCCTGCGCACGCTGTATAGCGCGCAGGTGGAGGACCACTACAACCACCCGCGCAACGTGGGAAAACTTGACAAGGCGGACCCAAACGTGGGCACAGGACTTCGCGGTGCACCCGAATGCGGTGACATGACGCAGATGCAGGTGAAAGTAAACCCTGACACAGGAATCATTGAGGATGTTAAGTTCAAGGCATTTGGCTGTGGGAGTGCGATTGCCGCATCCTCCTACGCGTCCCAAGCGATTAGGGGGAAAACGTTATCGGAGGCACTGGAGCTGACTAACAGACAAATAGCACAAGAACTTTCGCTTCCCCCCGTTAAGCTGCACTGCTCCATGCTGGCACAGGAGACCATTCAGGCGGCGGTGGAGAACTATTTGTCGAAAAACCCCTCGCTTAAGTCAAAGGTACAAAAGAAGCAAACGAAGGATGCCTCGACCCCCCCAAACTGAAGTCATTCCTGACCAGTGCTTCACATGCAGGTAATCAAGAGATTGAAAGGGAAAAGAAGAGTAGAGAGAGATTGGCTTTGTAATGTACTTGGTTGCTGGCTCTCTCACCTATCAGTGTCGTGCCGTCAGTTTTATTGCCCGGCTAAGTATCTGATGCAATTCACTACTTGGTTAATAAATTGTTTTCAGGACTGCTATATATTGGCATTTTTACATGTGCATGTCCATCTATAAATATATTTCTGCAAACACCAACATCTTCAAGCGTTTACTTACCCATCAGCCTCACCATTGCTTTCCTCTTCCGCTGCTACTGACGGTCATACTGGCAATGATGTATGCACACGTACCCAGGTAAAACAAAAAATTAAATAAAATGTCCTTCGTCTTTTTGCTTGCGTGTTCAAGTGGAAGCTCAAATAAACAGGTAAAGGAGGAATGAGGGAACAGACGGCGGTGCAGTGGGAGGGGAAGAAACGTCGTGTAAAGAAAAAAAAACGCTATACACTTCTCTTGCTTGAAGTGTATGTTGTCATAGATGAGGAAGATAGATGTAAGAGTAGGTGGTGTATATGTGTGTTTGATCACTCACTCCGCCTTAGTATGGCTTGTTTTTTTTTACACACACTTTTTTTTTTTGCTTTCACACTCACACGCACGTTTTCTTCATGGATGAAGCGCCTTTCTATTTGGGTTGTTTGCTTTCTGGCTTCCGCTTCTATGGTGTTTTATTGGTTGAGTCCTTTCCGCATGTATGGCGTTTATTTGAGTGTGTATTTGGATCTGTGTGCGATGGGGGAATTGTTGCAAGCGGGGAAATGATATATATATATATCTATATATATATCTATATATATACGAATGAGATACGTCTGTTTTCTTCTTTGGATATTTGTTGTCGTTGAGGGCTGACAAGGGTGAGGCGTGGCGTGGACACACGTGCATGCACCAGCGGGCAGGGACTTTTATGTATGTGGCTCAAGTGGAGGAGCGAACGTGGGGGTGAACGAGACCAGCGACGACATACTAAAAGGAGGTGCGGCTAAATCCCCTAAAAAGGCGGAGTAGGAAGATAGAGTAATCGTAATTATAATAATGAGGGATTGAGTCTCCGACATCTTTTTATTGTGTGAAACGCCGATAAGTGTAACTAAGTTTAACCTTACCGACGCTGTCTTTTCACTTCACTTGGCCTCCTTTGCTTCCCCCGTTCCCTCTATTTTCTTTTTCCTTTTTGGTTAAGATTTATTATCTTTTCATTTGGTTCTTTTCTGTTGCTCATGTTTGGCGACGGCAGATCTTGAATTGTATCTCGCTGCGGTGTTTTTCTTCTTCTTTCTTTCTCTTCCTTTTTCATTACGGTGTTGTGTGTATTTCTACTTAGGCATCGGTGCCCCCCACTCCCATCGAGAAGGGACGCGAAGGAGCACGGAGGTAAACGAAGAAAACAGTCAACAACAACAAAGTTGGGACCCCGCGTTGCATTAGCGTCGCAGGTGGAGATAGTTCCTGCACTCCTTGAGTTTCTCCCCTCATTGCGTTGTGTTGTGTGCGAGCGCGTCATGTCTGTTGTTCTCTCCACAACGAAGGGCAGTTTGCTCATTCATCTCCGCTGCACGGACTGCCCCAAGGCGTGTTTTAACTTCCTTGCGCTTTGTGCCTCATCTTACTATGACGGCTGCCATTTCCACCGGTGTGTTGCGAATGCCTTTGTCTTGACAGGCGATCCCACCGGAACGGGGAAGGGCGGCGAGTCGGTTTTTGCGCCAGAGCAGCGGTATTTTGACGATGAAGGGCTTGGAACTGTTCATCATGACAGCCGCGGGGTTGTGTCCATGGCCCACAAGGGCAACAAGCCAAACACAAATGCGTCTCAGTTCTTCATTATGTTTCAAGCCGCCCCGGCTCTTGACACGAAACACACTGCGTTTGGATGTGTGGACTTGGCTTGGAACGATGGTGAGAGTGAGCGAACGCTCAAAAAGTTGGAGGGGCTGCCGGTAGATGACAAGTACAACGTGCTTGACAAGGAGGCCAGGATTCTTGGGGCAACCGTGTTGTACAATCCCTTTGCAGAAGGTCACATTAAACTAGACGTTTAGCCAAAACGACTGCTGTACGATGTCCCCTAGCAATGTGTGGAGGCGGGTGTGCTTGTTGTTGTTGTTATTGCTTTTGTGTCTGCATGCGCCGCAAATAAAATATGGGCTCGTGTGCTGAGACACACATCTGCACCAGCAGCAGCGGCAGCGGCCGTATCAACAGAGGAGAAGGAGGAAGAGGGCGGCCAAAGCAAAGAAAAAAAAAAGATAGAGAGGGGGGAAGTGGGACGAAACAGTCCATCACAACGACAAGGAACTAGCGCCTGCTCTCCTCCTTTTTCTGTTTACTGCAGGCCCATTGACCCAAAGAAAGTGAACAAGAGCAACAACAACAAAAAAGTCTGGATATGCCCGTTGATGGGATGAAGAGTGCTGGAACAAAGCGCGAGCGCCCACGGGACCCTCCGTTTGTTGCTGACTACCGCCCCTACACAGGCCGCCAACTGGCGCGTGCACAGTATTGCAAAACGACACACAGGGAACACTGGGATATCTATTACCGCAACAATACAGTGAAGGGTTACCGCGATCGTCATTACATAATACGTGAATTTCACGAGCTCCGTGAGGCCCTTAGGCGCCTCAAAGAAGAGTCTCCTTCGCTAGCAGTAGATCTTGTTTGGATGGAGGTAGGCTGTGGCGTGGGCAACGCCATCCTCCCGATTCTCGAGGAATATGGTGACATCAGTGGATGGCGTCTTGTTGGGTTTGATATCTCCGCTGTGGCAATTGAATTACTGCAGAAGAAACGAAAATCTCTCCCCGAGTGTTGCCAGGAGAAACTTGCCGTGCGTGTTATGGATCCAGTTGAGGAGGATATCCTCGTTGCAGCATCGTCTTCTGGATGCCCGTTTGCCCTCGCTGCGGGCTCAGTCGATTTTGTGACGATGATTTTTGTGTTGTGCTCAATTCCGGTGGAGAAACACCTACTTGTGCTGCGGCGTGTGGCACTCTGCATGGCCGAGGGGAGTATCTTTTTCTTTCGCGACTATTGCATCGAGGACCACGCAGAGAAACGGTTTGACCCCCGGCGTCAGTTGGAAGAAAACACCTTTACGCGCAGCAACGGAACTTTGAGCCACTTCTTTTCCCTTGCGGAGGTGCAACATTTATTTCAGGAGTCCGGCTTTGAGAAGTTGGAGCTCGTAGTGGTTGAGCGAGAGGTTGTTAACAGGAAGCAGAGAACCAATATGCATCGAAAATTTCTTCAGGGCCGATTTCGTAAGTCAGGGAAGGGAAAAGAGCAACTGAGCCGGTGATGTGGGTAAGAAATTTTTTACCTCAACTCGAGTAAGCGAATGTGTTTAATTGAATATTGGGTTTCAGGGCCTCGTGCACTCCTTTGTTCTCCCACGGAGTGTGCGTCTGTGTCTTTTTGCTTTGCTTAGTTTTGGTTGGCATTCACTACATGGTGAGGGAGGTGTAGTTAAATTGTTTCTCTTCGCTTACCGCATCCTGTTTCCTTTTTTTTCTTCCCCATATGTATACATTTGCCCTGAGCATTAATGCCGTGATGTGTGTCAAACGGAAGCGAGTGAGTGAAAAAAAAGCAAAAACGGTGAAAGGGACAAAAAGACAAGGGCCACAATAACAAAAACAACAGTAAAGGTGCGAAGAAATCAAAAGGGGATAAGCGTGGCGGTCCCCATCGCGGAGCGAAATGGGAGTACATGGGCTATGGCGCCTCCTTGACACTTTTGGGGAAGTGACGCGACCGGATGATTGGCGTGGCAAGCGGGTTGCAATTGACGCGAGTATTTGGATGAGTCAATTTCGAGCACAATGCGCAGCCGGTGAAAATGTTGAGCAGCGTATTCTTGAGGGATTTTTCTTGCGCATCCTTAAACTCCTCTTTTACGGTATTGAACCTGTCTTTGTATTTGACGGTTCCGCCGCACCTTTGAAGTCAATGGAGAGGCGACGGCGAGCAGAGCGTCGTGCGGCGCTGGAACGCGCGGCTCTCACGCGTCGTGCTAAACAGATTGTCAAGGCTCAGTTAGCTTCAGGCGTTTTGGATGTGCAGGCGTTGGATCGGCAGAGTCCAGTGAAGAAAAGCGGGGATCACTTAAGCTCAAGTAAGAGGAGGGACGCTCCAATGGTGCGATATTTATCCTCAAGGAGATTACCTGTCACCGCGACAGAAGGTTGTGGTGCTCTTCCGCGAAGGTTGATGCATAAGAGACCGCGTGAAGTTGTGCTCGAACCTGATGTTGTTTCTAGAACTCTGACGAAAAATTTCTTAAACGAAGCGGAAGAGTGGATGGAGGAAAAGAGGCGCGGTGAAATGTGCATTGAGGCCAACACGCTTTTGTACTCTAGCACCTCCCTCTTTATGGGACCTCGACGGGTGCTGGAAGGAAAAATAGATGAATTCATGGTGCCCGATGCACAGCTTGAGAATGATAAAAAACCCTCACAACACATGAGCCTTTCTTTCCCAACGAGGAGACCACCCTCGGTGGTGATCTCTGACGATGAAACAACTGGTAATAATGACTGGGAAACAGTATCTACTGGCACGGGTGACGGGGATTCTGTTGTAGTTGTAGAAGGCGATAAAGGCACGTTTGTGTCTCGCCTTCACGAGATGGAGGAAGTAATGAGTCAGTCTCTGCATGAAGATTCTTGCGACACGTGGTCGGAAAAGACGATGATGGGTAGCGATGACGGTATCCTCTCTTCTTGCGGCAAGGGAGGTTGCATTCGCGCTAGAAGCACAAGTAGCAGTGCTCCAGATGACTCAGCCCTGCTGTGGAATCCTGGCACCCAACTCAATTGCCAAAAGGGCTCCGAAACCACGAATATACAACGTGAGGTATCTGAAGAAGGGAGTGGGCAGTTTACACCCGTTTCTCTTCACCCTGTTGAGTGGCAAACTAGTGAGGAGACTTCTACCCTAGTAACAAAGGAGCTTGAAGGTGCACTGGGTGCCACAACGTCAGTGGTGGCGTCATCGTTTTCCTACCCGTCCCACGTGCCGGCGTCGAATCCAAAGCCATCCACAGCATCATCAATGGCAGCAGCAGGGTCGACGGTAATAAAGTCGAATACGAACGTAAAACAAGTTATACCGTTTGAGTTGTTGGAAATTGTGGAGTTACTGGAGTGCTGTGGGATTCCATTTGTAATTAGTCCTCATGAGGCAGATGCACAGTGTGCCTTCTTGAGTCAACATCGGCTTGTGGATGCGGTGTTCTCAGAGGATAGTGATGTCATTGTTCATGGCGCAGCTGTTGTGCTGCGGGGATTTTTCGCGAAGGACCGTTATGTGGTGGCTTATCGCCAGTGCGATTTGGCGACGTGTGGCGTGGACAAGGACGTCTTGGTCGCGCTCGCACTTTTGCTTGGATGCGACTACGCGGAGGGTGTAGACGGAGTCTCTTTGTTGGAGGCGCTACAAATAATTACTGCCTTTTGGCGCCAAGAAAGTGATCAAGGCCCCTTGCATGTGTTGGAAATGTTGACGCAGTGGAGGAATGCCGTGGTGCAGCGTTGTTTTGTGTGGGATGACGAAAGCACTCTCTTGCAATACTACTTAAACTGGAGGAAGTGGGCCTCGTTGCGGGTGACTATGGAATTCCCGAAGGCCGACGTTGTAGATGCCTTTTTCAACGCCACAGTGGAGACGGATCTAAGGTCATTTGCAGCGGCATCTCCAGATTGGAAGCGTCTGCGAACCTTTGCCGGCATGCACGGTTTACTTGGCAGTATCACTTGCCAGCAAAGACTGGAGTTGGCTCAAAAAGAATTCACGGCAAGAGAATTGCAGCGTCAAGATGTACACCAAAGACAGCAGTTGCGTCTTACTGATTTTGCAATGTCGTCACAGATAAAGAAGGTGATTTACAGGAAACAGCCACCCCGGTTTGCAGCAGCGCTCTCTGCCTTGCGGGTTGTCAGGCGAGGCGGGGTTATTTTGGACGGCTGACATCCTTTATTGACGTCGCTGAGAGGGGAGATTTGTAGTTGAGCGTACGCATGTTGTGGGTGTGTGTTGGGCCTCACGGCGCCCTACCTTCTTTTATTATATATATATATATATATATTTATTTTATTTTTTTTGTACTGAAGAGAATATAAGATTAATAATAATAATAATTGGAGACCACACAAAGACTTGTTGATTTTCCTTTATGGAAGGAAAACGCGACGAAGCACCAATGCCGGGATTTCATCCCATAGGCCAACATGCCGGCAGCAGAGAAGGCAATGAGGACGCCGCGGCGATACATAGAGCCCTTCACTCATCTGAGGACGAGATGCCTGTTTTGGAATTTAACGCAAACAAGGGCAATTGCTCCAAGGGTAACGTTAGCTTTGGTCTTCCGCCGTATGTGCCACGGTATCCACTTGATCAGCGCTGCAGTGAAGGTTTTCTGAACGTTCCCTGGGATCTACGCAAACCAACCGGATCGGGCCGTTGTGATACTTTTGATTGGTTGCGTTCCAGAAAATTATGGAGGCACGCGGAGTTTGCGCTACGCATCACGCTCCTTGCTGTGCTACTCCCCGCCTCACTCATTGCGGCAGAGCTACCCAACTTACCGTTTGTGTCGACGACGTACTCTCTTTCTGCAGCGGTGCTGGCCTCCAAGATCACGGTAGGTGAAGGGGTTGCATACCTCATCACTTGGATTCGTGCCGGTTGTATTTGGCTTCCACTCGCCACTATTGGGGCAGCTTTTCAACTCGGTAATTCCACTGTGGGGTGGTGTTTCTTCTACACCTTGCTTCTCTTTGTGATGGCGACACTCACTGAAAACATGGTTCGACGTATTTGTCTCCTGCTGTTTAACGGCTGCATGATGGGCATCCTTATCGATCCAAAGAGAGGTATTTTGTACCCTTCACAAGTTATGACAGATTGGTGCATTGGCACAGGTCTTTGCCTTCTTGCAACTTTTTTGCCTTACCCAGTTTTTTGCAACAGAAAGGCTCAGTCTGCCCTTTCTCATATTGCACAAAACATTGGAACAGCGTTGACTGGCATGTCGTCCTGCTTTTGGTCGGAATCTAATGTTAAACGAAATATGGCAATGACTAAGGTTCGTATAGTAAAGGCAGCAATCGATACTCAGTTTGATGAATTTTATGCAGCGCAGGAGAACTCGTTTTACGAATTTATTTTTGAGGGGTTTGAGGCGTGGGATGTACGAGAAACCAAAGCAAAACTTTTTGCAAGACTTGGTTCCAACCTGGGGATTTTGTCACGGGTCCTTGACATTGTGGAGTCTAAGCCGTGGGTGGTTGATGACTCCGCGAGGTCAATCGCCTTTGGGGATTGCATGCATTCACATATCCTGAGCTTCACAACCTCGCTCGATAACCTTACGAATGAGCTTGCCTCTGCCAACACCTTTGGGAAGATAAAACAGCTTCACAGTCTTTTTTTGCAACTGAATGAGGCCACTTTAACACTCCAGGTTGAGTTTGACAACGCCCGCCGAGCACTCTTTTATGAGAATAAACCCGACACCTTGGAGGATTTTGTACCATTGATGACATTTTTCATCTTCTCCATCATCAACTTCCGAGACACCCTGCTCCAGTTTGACTCCCAGGTGCACCACAGAAAAAGTTGTATAATGCATTCCATCACGAGAGTTATGCATAAAACTGTGTGGGAGCCTATCAATGAAAATTTTTCTTTTTTCCGGAGACTTGTGACGCAGTGGCGTCGTAGGGAGCTTCAACGTTTGATAGAGGCCGCAAAGGTGAGCGCAGCCATGATATTAACCGTTGGATTTTCTTTTCTCATTAACATTGACAGACAGTCCATCTCGGGGCCAAATATCATCGCCTTTGTCTCTGGGGCCAACCCCGTTGAAGCCCTGCAGGCTTCCATTGTGCGTCTTACTGCATGTATTCTGGGCACCGTGTTGGGCTTTTTTGCGGGGTCATATTCTACAACATCCACTGAAAAAGTGGCTTCCCTATGCGTGCTCATGTTTGTTGGCACTTTTTTCCGCAGCGATAAACAATACGGTATTATGGCAGTGTTTGCGATGTTCGTTTTAATTCCACTAAACACTGTGAGTCATGTGACTACTGAAGACACCGTGGCACGCATGAATCAAATTACATTTGGTATGCTTATCTATGTATTTATCAGCGTTCTTGTGTTTCCGCTGAGCCCTGGTCTTATACTTCGCAAGAAACGCATCAACGTCTTATTGAGGCTAGGTGAAGTATTTAAGGCGCTTTGTGACATGTTTTCAGAACCTCCTTCAATTGGGGGAGTGCGTTCTAGAACGCTTCCTATTCAAGACTCCGGTGCTTGCGACAGCCCTAACAGTGGAACAAACGTGTCTGAAGAAGTGGTTCTGACAAATACAAGCACACGTCTAGTTGTGCGTACAGATCGACCCATGCTGAATATTAACCTTCTTCTGGAAGAGATTGAGGAGCGCCTTAAGGCGACATACCCCTTTATGGGATTTGCACGTGAGGAACGTGGACTAGTAGATGCGGATTATCCTGCAAAATCCTGCGAGAAAACGTCCTATCATCTTCATCGCATGATGAGCTTATTGAAGACCATGTGGTGCAGTTGGAACGTTTTGCGAGGTCAAGTGTATTACACTCCTGATACAAGACATATACTCAAGAGCTTGCAACCAATTGGCTGGGATGCGTGTTGCGCATTCCAGCGGTTTATAGGCTTGCTTTGTTACACACTGCGCAATCCTGCGACTGCGTTGGAAATGGAGCTTACTCATGTTGTGCTGGAACTTATTCAGGCCACAGAGGAACTGCATCTTCGCAAGAATCAAATGATGCTGTCTGTGATTTGCCATTCAGTGGAGAAACATGGGCGTCGGCGGAAGGAGCCGGATCAAAACGCTGCAGGGGGAGCAAAGGGCGTGTCGAAGTTGCAGAAAAAGACCAAGCCAATTACGTTGGGCACAGACGGCATGGGGTGGTCAGATGATGCAGGGTCTGTACTTACGCTTCTTCGCAAGGGTACAAAGCCTAATCTACAAGAAAGTGCACCCTCGGTGGCGGAGGCGGTGAGTCTTTCTGAGAGCTTTTCTATGCCTCTCACAGGAGAAGACGCGGAAGGATTTCACTCACTCACGTTGAGTATGCAGATGTTTGCGGATGAGACAAAGCTGTTGTTAATGAGCCTTGAGGAAATGCTGGAGCACTCGCGGAAAACAATGTAATGAGGCACTCATGACGAGGAGGCGAGGGAGTAAGGAAAGATGGTTTTGATTCATGGAAGTTGTTGCGCCCAGGCGATAAGGGTTGGTATGAGTGGGCTGCAGAGAGGTCCTGTGTGGAGGTAGCTTGCATTGGTGTCTTTGCACATGCCTCTCTCTCTTTCACCTCTTCTGCGCCTCACATTTTCCCACCTCCGCGTCTTTCATTGTCATGTATAACTCTTTTTTTTTTAATGTTTTGTGGCGTTCCTGTTCAGATGACGTACCAAGGTAAAATGTAATAAATGGATGCATCGAGATTTTGGTGGATGCGTTGTCTGGCGGGAAGATGCGTGACTGTTCGGGTGTGTGTGTTTGTGTGCCGATCTGTGCGTGGAGGTAGAGCGCATGCGTCTGGGAATAGAGAAGTAGCACCCAGTAAATAAAATGACGGAGCGGGAGAGGAGGTAGTATGGGGCGGAGGAAACGGAACACATGGAGCAATTGGGATCCCGATTTTTTGTAATGGTTTGTGTGGGAAGGAAGGACATGACGAGAAACGTCAAACACTGTTTCTACGGACCCAATTGTTTTCCCCTTCTGTTTATGCACACGTGTGTTTGCTCAACCGTTTTTAGCAATGCATTGGAGGGATTCAGCGGCCGCACTTCCGCTTCCCTTCGCTAACCCCCAACTCCGTCAACTGCAAAGGGATGGAGGTGGGGGGGAAAAAAAAGAACAAATAAACAAAGTCAATAATATACACAGCATGTATGTTTTCTATGTGCTTTGTTTTTTTTTTCTTTTTTTTTTTTTTTTTTT